TGTTTGTACCATCCATGAAAATATTAATTTAATGCTTCATTGTCTTAGAAAATATTCATTCGAAAAAGATATCAACCATTATTTTGAAGAAATATTATGCAGCTCATCATCCAGAACTAAACATTGTTATCTCCGCGAATGCAAACGTTGTCCAGGTCTCTCAGATTTTGAAAGAAGTTTTTCAGAAAAATTCGAGGAACAGGGTATGTCTGAAATATGTTTTGAACAATGGGTTTCAACTGATCGATGTAGTTTAGAGAAACTTGTAAAACCAGTAGATGGATTTGTTCCTTATTTTTGCGAAAAGTTGGATAAACTGGTATCCCATGATTATATTAAAGCTCAGCAGTCTAGTTTTTTGAGAAATACAAAAAATACTCTTAAAAATGGAGAAGTTGTCATAATTTGTGATTTTTTCGAAAATTATTCATTTGTTCTTCAAGATGCTGCCCAAAGTAGTTACTGGAATAATCAACAAGCTACTATTCATCCTTTTTGCATTTATTATTCAGAATCAGGTATAATTAAAAATTTAAGTTTGATCGTAATCTCTGAAGTTTTAAAACACGATACAATTGCGGTGCAAGTATTTATTTCAAAATTACTGACCTTTTTGTAAACAAAAATTCAAGTAAAAAAAGCGATGTTTATGTCTGATGGAGCTGCATCCCAATATAAAAATTGCAAAAATTTTGCAAGTCTTTGTAAATTTAAAACAAAGTACAATATTGATGTTGAATGGTACTTTTTTGCAACTTCGCATGGCAAGGGACCATGTGACGCGATTGGTGGCACATTAAAACGAATGGCAAGGAACGCAAGTGTGGCTGTAGAACACGAACATCAAATCACAAGTGCAGCAGAGTTTATGCATGGGCTTACCAGAAGAGTAATGATTATTTAACAAAAATGTCATTTTATTTTGTGTCACAAAAGGAATATATGGAAAAGCATTTTTGAAAAGGCCAAAACGATCCCAGGTACAAGAAAATATTACTGTTTTGTTCCTATTTCCAAAAATAAAATATCAGCGAAACTATTTTCGAATGACGAAGAACGCACCATTCATAACATATAAAAACATGCCAATCAAAAGTTCATCAAATAAAAATATATCCAACGAAAAGGTTTATGTTCAAGTTATTATTATTATTAAAGACGATCGAAAGTAATAAATGTAAGATGCAAATAAAAACGCATGGGTATTTCATTTATTTATCTTATTTATCTTATAAGTTTAAAACCAATTTTCCAATAGTCTATTGGTGCAAGGGTAAGCTGAAGGTAAGTACATGCATATCTTGCAAAACTTATCACATTTGATGGACAATCACGTATAACTTATGAAAAGGGCATATTTTCTACAAAAAATTGATTATGATGAAAGTAAATTTGAAATATCTCGAAAACTGTTACATATAGGAAGTTTATCGATATGAGCATTATCGTTCGAAATGATTTTAATAATTATATACTGACATCAAACTGAGCATTTTGCCGTAAATAATGAAAGTTTCAAAAATGCCTTAAAAGTTGCTCTTAGAAAAACTTTTTTTATTAAGAGTTTGTCCATCCTGGAGTTGTTTTCAAAACTTCTGCTTTCTATTCAAGTTTTTATTAAAAAAATATAAAAAAAAATCAAAAATACGTTTTTTTTTGTTATTTGAATTTTGAGGTTTATTTTAATTTTTTTTTTGTAAAAAAACGAAAAAAAAATTCCGTGTATATTTTTTAATAAAGCCTTATTAGTTTCCTACAACTCCTTCTTAGTATTTTTTTTTCTACAACCAACTGTTTTCGAACTACATTTTTTTTTTAAAAGTATGTGTGCAAAAACACATAGGCCCTTTTCAAAAATTACCCTTGAGTCAAAAGGGTCTCATCTCCTGCGGAAAATACTTGGTCTATCATACTGAAAATATGTGCCATGTATCATCCAGATCGAAGATAGTCAAGTTAGGTGACTGACCGATTTGGCGTGGAATTGGTCGGTACTAATGGATATTTTTGGTCGCTATTGAACATTTAGTCGATTTCTGAATTTATGTATGGGCCAGAATTAGGGGCATTTAGACCGACATTACATCCATTTCCCCTATACACAATCTAAAAGCCCATGACCCTTGGAACTATAAAACATACTTTATCAGCTAATTAAGAAAATAGAATTCCTCAATTCAATAGAACTAAAAGTTTGAGAATTCCCTGATTGCTGGCCGAATTCCCTGATACTGGCGAGGGGGGCGACAAATCTAAATACCAATTCTAGATGCTCAAAAAATCTCACACTAGCAAATCAATCTTCGGAAAATCTTCTTTCATTTCTCGCATCTAATTGCATCGCGCATCATCTTTTTATAGGAAATCTTCAGAATCGTCATCAATCTTCTTTCTATCTACTCAGCATGCGCGCAGCTTGCCACAGTAAAACACAACCTTTCCTGCATCGTAGATAGAGTCGTCCCCCTCGGATACTGCCAGGTTTTTCTAGGCATTTTTAAATTCCCTGATAATTCCAGGTTTTCAGGTATTTCCACTCTGTAAAAATAAAAACAAACCACCAGAAGCCAAGCACTTTAGAACAAAATCCGAAAAAAGGTTTTCATAGAATACCAAAATGCGCATTTTGACAAAGTTTGGTTGAAATCGGTGGCATTGACTACTACCAACAATCAATACGAAACTAACTATTTAAAATTGGCTCACTACTTGACTAGCCAACAAATCTATTAACGTATCCCATTCTAGTATAAATTCCAGTACTACACTATGTTTGTTTTGATTCGCTATGAAAGTTTGACAGATAAAATGAGGGGTTCGTGGATTTTCCTATGTTGCGAGGGGTGCATCGATTAGCTTGGGACCGAAGATAGTACCAGAGCTGAGCCAAAAAGATGAGCTCGTTTCTTCGGGACCTTCTAGTCTTAGAGTTACCTCTATGCTACTACATTGTGTACATTTAAGCTGTATTTGTCATATATAAGGGTGGAACGGTCAAAATTTGGTCGACCAAAATTTGGTGTATTTATTTTAATGCACCGTGCACTTGAAAAATTTGAACACCCCTCATTTTTAGGTGTGTGCCAACATTCCGGCTCTTTTTTGTTATTACCATTTACTATTTAGTTGTCCAAATGGTGTCGAAGCAAGACGAACAACGTATTAAAATGTTGCTCGCGCATAAGCAAAATCACAATTTTTCCTACGATGACTTGGCAAACGCTGACGACTGCTAGGAAACCAGGATCAGGTAGAAACCGAAACCTGGATGCCCCACGGCCAAAGCAAGAGCACGTAAGTTGTACACGACACTGTTGACCAAATTGCCAGGTCAAAAGTTTTAAACGGCTACCGCAAAAGTTCCCAAAAAAATACTTGGTTTGGTAGTTGATTTGCACATGTGGTCTGAAAAGTAGAATTTTCGTGACAACTGACAAGATATTTATGTTGCCTTTTTTTTTGAAGAAACACAGTTATTCCGTGCTGTTTTGGCCAGACCTCGCTTCCTGTCACTACGGGAAAATGGCTCAGGAATGGTATACGGCCAGAAAATTCCAAGTTGAACCCGGAGCTGCAACCAATCGAAAAATATTTTGCAATCGTTAAGCGAAACCTAAAGAAAACTCAGAAAAAGTTGAAAATGAGAAACAGTTCACAACAAAGAAAGTTGATACAACAGTGGTACCAATTCTGATAGATAGTGTTAAACGTAAATATAATACAATAATATTCCTGTATTTTGTATCCGTTGAACTACAAAAATAAATAAAGTTTGAACATAATCAGTGTGCACATAATGCACCCTTTAGTTTTGAGAGCAGTTCTTATGTTCTTAATCCTTAACATTTTTTTTAGCCACCATAAGTTTCATAATGCAAATTTTTTTAATTATTATCCAATTTTATGGCTTGCAAAACTTTGGTAACTTTTCTGGTCAGGAACATATTTGAGTTTAATATGAAGTGTTTGAAAGATCACAAATATGCAAGATTCCAATTAATTAGGTATATTATACTTTAAGCAATAACAGTTTAAAAAAGTAAAAAAAAAATGATATACTTTTGTCGGATACTGTTGAGTGACATTTTAAATACAAAAGTTTTAAGTAGTACAAATCAAATATCTAATCTAATGTAACACCAACACGGTTTGTTCACGAAAGCATCCTGAAAATAACTTTTTTTTTCTCAAACATGTGTTTTTCCGTTAGCACAAATTAAAATTCTCATTTTTTCGTTATCACCCGTTAAAACTAGATTTTCTTTCCATGTAGGTTGTCAAGACAAACGAATTCCTTCCTTTCTTTACCTAGACACTCGCTAGGACGAACATATGGACGTCATCTTCCTATGATCCTGTTTTTATACACTTGTCACGCCAAATGTTTACAAACAGTAGTTGCCTAATCCTTCCAAATCAACACTTTCCACGTGTTGAAAATATGCTTCTGAAAAGTCTTATCCGATTACTTCTATTATACGCTTTCGTCATCGTCCCAGCATCATCTCGCCTCGGTAGCGAAACTAATCAATCATAATCAGATTTCGCTTTCACTGGTGGTGGGGTCCATTCTGTGTCCTATCTAACCCTCCTAGATGAACCAGTGCTTCTTTGATGTTGGACGCTATTTCAGCGAATGGTGGTGAATGAAACCAACGTAAAGGGGGAAACACGCACAATTATGCATGCACATATTGATTACATCGTGTTATTTTTATGATAATCGCATCATCGCAACAAAAGACATGAACCACGTGGTGTCTGCCGTGTCACGAATAAAGCACCCTCCACATAATCTACATTCCAGTCTAGCGTATGTTAATTCATTCAACTGTAGGTGCATAGTTATGATCAGTAGAGTAGAAGCACTGGGGTGGGACACCATTTTGAGCTTAGCCTTCGCCTCAGAAATTTTATAATTTTGGTTGCCCCAAAGTGCTAAGTTAATCATAAGGCATACGACATCATTCTCATAACAAATCTATCCTTATCCATTGCAGTTCCCATGGAAATGAAATGTTCGATGCCAAACGGTCCTGTTGGAGATGGTCTCACTGTGTTACCGCCAGCAAACGAAAATAACAACAATTTAAACAACGTCATCAATAACAACACCGGAAACACCGGAGCCAATAGTGGTGCCAACAACAATAGTTGTAGTGCTGGTAAAACATCCTCACTACAAGCAACCTGTTCACCGGTGCAATCAACCGCAGCTGTGACCACACCGCCAACCTCCGGACCGGTGCCTGCAATGGGCGCATCACTGGCCGAACGCTTGGTGGCAGCCGTTGGGGTGGGAGCGGCCACTGTTGAAACCTTGTCGACAGCCCAATCGAGTGCGACAACAGGCTCGGGAAATGCAACCGCCACCCTGTGTGGTCAATGCTGTAGCCCCATATGCGATCGATACATAATGAAAGTGGTGGACACATCGTACCATGAACGCTGTTTACAATGCACTTCCTGTGCCATCCGGTTGATGCATTCCTGTTTTATGCGGGACGGAAAGCTGTACTGTCGGTTTGACTACGAGAGGTGAGTTTTCTTTGTATTGTCTAGAGGTTGGTTGGGCTTAGGCATTCGAATACCCGACCGATTCATTTACATAGTAGTGTCTTTACCGATTGAAAACATACATTTAGGATTCATACTGCACGAATATGTTCAAACGTATTGCAGGGGTTAGGGGAGATGGGGGTAAAATGCCAATGCTAAGGAAGAACTCTGTTTAATCCACCATGTGAATCGATATTTAAGTGAACTGACATCTGTTGAATTATTCTATTATATTATCTAGATATTATAATTGATATGCTTAATACCCCATACAGACTACCCAGACAACCAGAATGCACGTATATTCAAAGTTGTTTTCGTTATATACAAACATATATACAAACAAAAAAATCGTAAATAATGCAAAGAAATGGCATATACGTACAAAAGTGGAGGCCATATACGTGCATATTTTAATTTAATTTTAAACGAGTTGATTTAACATCATATACGATTTGATCTGTAATAACAAATTCATTTTGAAAAGTCTTACGATGTAATCTGATTTAATTTGTGATACAGTACGACGGAAAAATGAGTCATCGCATATAAGTCGGAAATATGCATTCTATACGATTTAACTTAAACATAATGCGAAGCATGCCATTCTTATATGCGATTTTGACTTAAACTGTAGCAATTTACGATACTGTCTGTACATTGTTATCCGACTTCTGGTTGTCTGGGTATGGCTTATATCATGTAATATGTAATATAGTCTTGCAATGAGCACTCATACATACGATTTCCAGTGAAAACTAGATTTTTGAGTACTCATTGCAACACAGCCTATATTACATGATATAAGCCATATAATACGTTCAGACTACAGAGTTATAACATGTTATAACGCTATCTTGATGGTGGTTTCTGTGTTGCAATTATTTGACAACCGTTATAACATGTTATAACTCTCCAGTCTGTACAGCGTTATAGTCTGTACGAGGTATTAGGCTAGTTCACTAGCTCCAGCAGCTCAACCAACTGGCACGAATTTCAGTTGTTCCTAAAATCTCATACTGGTAGATGCTGATGTCCTGTTGACATTATGCTGACTGCTTTTCAGTACAGTGCTAGTACACTAGCGCTAGCAAAAAAAGCACTGACGTAAACATCACATTAGTACCCAAAATTAGGTAAGGCGGGTTAAAGAAGTTTTCATTTATGGAATTTTCTACTAGCTTTCTACCCAATAGTAAGTTAGTTGTACCCAAAAGAGTAAACATGATTATACGCAACGTTGGGTCCTCCGTTTTTGACAACATTTGAAGGAGAAAAGGAGGCAAACTAGTCAAAAGTAGGTAAAAGTGTACTGGCCGTTGGGTACTTTTTTCTTCCCGAGGGGTGTATCGATTAGCTTGGGACCGAAGAGAGTACCAGAGCTGAGCCAAAAAGTTGAGCACGTTTCTTCGGGACCTTCTGGTCTTAGAGTTACGTCTATGGTGGTACTATCTCCGACAAAAAGACATGAATGATCATACAAATTACAAAGGAATTTCTGCTCAAAGCACAAAACTGACATCTGCCGCCGTGTTCGCGGAAAATGTTTATCCTAGCCACAAACACGCGTACAAAATGTATGACTTGGTTCGTGTCTAATCTATTTTGGACAAATTATTTTTTATCTAAATAAAACATTTCTATGGTTTTGACAGATGGGATCGCTGCACATTTGAATCGGCCGTTATGGATTCTCGATCAAGAGTTAAGTTTAAGTTTCATGTCAGTTTGTCGGTGGTACTATACCTCCGGTTCTTTGCAAAATCCTGCCAGTAGTACTGCCAACCGTCTGTTCCATCAAGGCTAAACTTCTTTTCATCTAAAAAGAGCACGTTTTTCCATTAATCGGTCCAGGAAATATATGTTTTTTTGCGAAATTGAAGTACTTCAAATTATGCCGTTCTGATAAGTTGGGCTTCCCTAGTCTTTTACGCCACTCCAAGCTCTCGCTGCTTGATAGAATTTATGCACACGACGTGTGTTCACCGGATGCTCCAACTTCGCGTGGATTTGTAATGCTGTTCTTTTCTGGTTCGTTGCAATTCTACAAATTCTTCGTTTATCCTTCGGTGTAAGCTTACTTTTCCTTCCACGTTTCTCGATGCGGCCACAGTTATCAATATTTTTCAAGAAGCTTCCGACTACCTTTGTTATCGAAAAAGTTTTCGATCGATTTCTCTATTAGAGAGACTTGATTTTGACATTTTCTTCGAACGTAAGATGTTTGGATCGACCCATGGCTGCTAAATTACAGGGAATAAATCCAATTTGACTACAATTTGAACAAAACTTAGACCTCTGCTCGATTTGTTAAAAATCAAATCAAATACCTGTCAAATGAGAAGTGTATTTGGACTCACTTGTGACCGTCGAATATGATACCAGCAGAGAAATTCAAAGACGCATTATGGCAGGGAACCGTGCCTACTTTGGACTCCAAATAAAATTTGCTGCAGCATGGTTGACTATCAACAAGAGGCTGATAAGACTGGTTGTCCTTTACGGCCACGAGACCTGGACCATGCTCGTGGAGGACCAACGTGCCTTGGTGTTTTCGAACGGAAGGTGCGGACCCTTTGCAGACTACGAGGCTGTCGACGTGTGGCCGTGGGTCGAGTAGAGTGGAGGTGACATCTTCGGACAGCAGACATCATCAAAAAAATCAAATCTCACCAATGCTCAAGATCACGCTTTTGATTTTTTGAGCAAACAACTGCGGTTGATTTTGCAAGCTGTGATATCGCAGCTCGGAATGTCAAGTTAACCAGCTGCAAATCACAACAAATTTTGGTGAGATTGAGTTTCATGATTTTTGCTTTACACCCGAACGCAACCGAAACTTCTATAACGGCTGGCAGCAGTCACTTCGTGTCTGTCATCGGTGAAAAGTAAAAAGAGATAGCAAACTATACTTTCTCTGTCTAAGAAAACTCTCATCTTGATTTTTGCACGTTGTGAATAGTCTCGCAATACCAAAGGAGCTTGTTAAGTCAATATCAAGCATAATATTTTGTTCCAACATCACGCGTGATATTGAGAGCGTATGAGAGCGGAAAAACATCATTAGATTTCTCGATGAACATTTCAAATGGTCCTATCTGCTTTGATCGATTCTCTTCATCGACTTTCTCTTTTCATAACCACTGCCATGCAAACAGATTTCGCGCTAATTCTACCACATAGTTTGATAAAGGAGGTTCTTATCTAGCGTACAAAACGTCAAATACAACAGAGAAAGGTTTTGCAGCTTAGTTATTAACGAAAGAGAAAGTCGATGAAGAGAATCGATCAAAGCAGATAGGATCATTTGAAATGTTCATCGAGATTTGATTTTGCCAACACTGATGGTATGTATGTTGTTCTTGTAAGTTACAAGAAGAGGTTGTTAAGTATGTGTTTGACTCACTAACATGCATAACTCGACAGGTTAAGCAAGTGAAATGATTAAACAGTTGGAGAGATAGAGGAATATTAGCGTTGATGTCACACACTACGAAAACGGCATGTAAATTTCAGTGCCTGAGACCGACACATGCAAGCGGCTCATATGACATAAGAATCAGTTCAAAGAAAGGAGAAAATCAATTCAATCAAACGCAATTTTCGTCGAGCTGCGTATGTTTCGATTTCAAAACATTTAATTTTACATGACAATGTTTGTTTTCGTATCATAATTTACGTCAAAGATGCATTACGTCTCGTGTAAAAATAGTAATTTCTAAGTGTGCACTTATTTCGGCCTGATTGTCCCTAATATTGGACCCATACTGGATTGAGCAACAAAAAATAGTCATTTGTGTTGTCCAATGGAAATGATCTTAGAAAAAAAATAAAGAACAGAATATTTTTTACCGTTCAGCCCAATCATTATTAGAGCCATTTCCCTTACTAAAGTTGTGGGTAGACGTCAAGTTGAAGGGATACAAGGACAAGTAAAAAGGGTTAAGATCAATTGACCATCCTATGGTTGCAGTTTTTTCATCACAAACTAGTAAGGTTACCCACGTGTGACTACAAAAAGACAAATTGAACATGATTTATTCTGCACCGCACATTCTGATTGTCATTAAAAAACAATTTATCATCTGCTCAAACAATGCTTCTTTTATGCTGCACACAATCTAGCATGGCTTTAAACTCGCACCAAAGACTGTAGGAATCATGCATCAACATCATACGGAAGGGAAATTTTTTTTCGCCTACCCTTGATTTGAAATAGGATATGGTTGCAGGAATTGTTTGTTACCCGTAGAAGGGGAAAAAGGACATTCAAATCGATCAAATTTATGCTGATGTAACGATGAGGCGTACCGGGTGTAAAATTACCCTTTCGCATCACCGTAAGACACATCTACCACATCTACATGGGCTACAGCAGAGAGTTGATTCGATGATTAATTTTGAACTCACGTTCTTCGCATGCTAAGTAGGTGAACACTTGTTTCGCCATTTCGTTGGCTGCCGGACTCTTTGCATTAAAGTGACTTTTCCTGAAGCCACCGGTTTAAAAAGTACAACTTTACGATGAAGGCAAATATGTTTATGTCATCTTAACGACAGGCTGTGGAAATGAAATAGGTCGTAAGATAAAATCTGATGGGCAAAAGGTTCTAACTTGTGGGGCGAGGAGATTTTCACCCTCGTTAGGATCGAATGTCTGCGCTCTGTTTGGTGCCTGCTGGCTCTGCACGGACGATTAGGTAAAGCAGAACGATCCAAAAAGCAGTCATCTATATAGTGCATTTTTTATTTCTATTTGCGGAACCCCTCCGAAACGAGTTCCTACTACAGTTAGCACACCCTTGGAGAATGGGAGCAGTCTGAAAGGTTCAACTGGCCAACCAGAAATGGTCATAAAACGGATGACGGTTATTTGTCTTTCGGATACTTGGAATCGTTTGACCATTGGACGCATTCTTGTATGTATTCGGTGATTCTTTTTAGCTTGGCCTATAATACGACTTTTGGTGCGCCAATAT